AAAGGACGTGAATCCCAACTTCGTGTGGGCTTGTGCACCATGGTCGCCAATGCGTCTCGCCCACACCTCGATGAAGGTGGATGGACCCTGCACTTCCTACACAGCCATCACCCTTCTGAAGGAACACAAGTCAAAGCCGAAAGCCCTGCTTGGTGAAACTGAGGAGGACCTGAAGCGCTTGCTGCAGAAGGCCAGGGACTGCAGCCTTCAACATGGATTGAAGCTCAACATCAAGAAGACAAAGATTCTCACCACTGGGCCGATTGGCAGCATCAGGATGGATGGTGAAGAGATTTGAGACAGCTAACAGTTTTAGTTTACTTGGTAACAGCAGCCAGGAAATCAAGAGGCAAGTTGCATTGGGAAAGTCAGCTGTGAGGGACCTCTCAAGAGTACTGAAGTGCAACGACGTCGGGCTCGAGACTAAAGTGCGCCTGATCCAGGCTATAGTCTTCCCAATTGCGTGCTATGCATCAGAGAGCTGGACGGTGAATAGGGATGACAGAAAGAGAATTAATGCCTTTGAGCTGTGGTGCTGGAGAAGAGTGTTGAATATACCATGGACTGCTAAGAGAACAAACAGGTTTGTCCTGGAGAGGCTGAAGCCAGAGTGTTCCCTGGAGTCAAGGATTCTGAAGCTTCATCTGACATACTTTGGGCATGTTGCAAGGAAGCACTGGTTTGGGAGGGTGGAGGGACAATGCAGGAGAGGAAGACCTTCAATCAGAAGGATCAATTCAGTCACTGGAGTAGTGGGAGTAGGTGTGTCGGAGACAATGAAGTTGGCACAGGATAGAACAGGGTTTAGGGCTCTTGTACATAGAGTCGCTATGAGATGCAGGCGACTCAACAGCACATAACAATAATAATTATGAAGTGTTTCTAAAATAGTGAAAACTTGGCATTACTGAAACCAATGGGACATGGCGGAGGTGGTGTGAAAGGAAATTTGGTAATCATCAAGGCCCCAAGTTACGGGGAAAAGACCCGAAATAAACAAATGAGGCCTTTAATTCCAACCATAACAAAATGAACTTTAAAGTGGAAAAATTACGATGAAAGCAAGGAGAGACAACAGTTGATTGGTTAAGTACTGACTCAGCCATGAAACAGATTTCCTGGATGACAGATCAACGGAACAGATACGGCAACAGACAGTGGAATCAATGGAAAGGAAGCAGAGGGCTGAGGACACCACCGGGCAGGTGCCACCTCCTGGATGAGGGAACGTCTGGTCAGCAAGAGGTGAGCGTCCATGGTCTTAGAACCTTGTGTGTGGCCACTAAAAAGACCACTACCTGTCTCCACCTGCCTCAAACAAGAGAAAGGAGGAAAGCCCAGACTCAGAGGAGGAAGGGAATTCGGGGCCAGCTGTCTCCGTGAACTACCGTCCTCCCTCCCGAGAGCAGAGGGGCTAGGTGTGGACCAGCCACCACTACTGACCCTGGTCACTGGGCTCAGATCCGAGAGATACTGACAGACGGAAGAGGAACATGAGAGAACTTAAAATTCTCTGAGACCCCAGACTCACTGGACTTCTAGAGACTGGAGTCGTCCCCAAGACCGCAGCTCGGAGTTACTCTTCAAATCTCAAATCAACGCTCCTCTTACACTTTTTTCTTTTATTCCCCTAAAAGAAGTTAACAGGAAGTTTTACTATCAACAGGTGAGCGTCAAGGGCCAGCAATGGGCACAGGGGTCCACTGGAGGGGATAGTGCAGTTAGGAGCCTCTCTGATCGGCCACCATGGGCCGCATCCCAGCCACTAGGAAGTCACTGGGGCTGCTGAAGGAAGCCCACCACGAGGCTGCCGCGGACACGGTCCGGCCACTGGACATCCTCCCTGCAGTGCCGGGGCCACACACAGGCGTGGTGGCCATGATGTCTGTGTTGGGAGGGTCATCGCCATGGACACCGGAAGGGCTGCCCCGGACCTGGCGCTCCCCACAGCCTGGGAGCCTCGTGTTGTAGGACAAGAGGCCGCTTCTCAGAGGGTCCCCACAGTCACAGAGCCACCGTCTGCTCCTGACACTGCGTGCTCCTTGCTGATGAGCCCTCGTGGCCACGGAAACCAGCCAGGACCCCTCAGGGGCCGTCCACAGCCCCACGGTTCCGTCCTGGTTGCCGTCACGCCTTGGTGCGTCCAGTGCAGCCACCGCAGCTGGGGCCTGAGCGTCTCAGTAGGAGTCGTGCGCCACGCTGCACAGCCACTCGGACGGTCACGGGAAGTGCTGTCGGGCTGGCGGGGGCCCCGGGCAGCGGCAGCCCCGACACGGCGTCCTGGTGTCCCGTGAAGGGAAGCAGGTACTGGGGACTCTCGGCAGCCACCTGAGGCGAGGGACGTGGCCTCGAAAGACGTGGCCATGCAGAGGGCTGGTGGCTGCGGCCACATGGCTGTCCCTCAGCACTCCGCCTGGGTGACCACATGCAACTTCCATCCACTCCCTGTGACAATGGCGCGGTCATCTGTGGCAGAAACACCAGCTACGTCTGCGGGGCGGAGAACTCAACAGGTGACACAGCTGGTGGCCTGCAGGACTCGATGGTGGCCAAGTCTGGGCCCGTCTCCTCCGCCGGCCTCTCTGTCTGACGTCTCCCTCGAGTCACGGGCGCCAGCCTTCTCCCCCCCTCACTTCTCGCTGAGCTGCTCAAGCCACCATTGGCTAAGCGCTGGTCCTTCTCCCGCGCTGCGCCTGCTTCCCCCTCCTCCTCTTCCTCGGTCTTCCTCCGGGCCGGTTCTCCTCTCAGGATCGCTGGAGACCTCCTCATTCAGCAGGCCACCACCCTCAGCATGGCTCCGTCATAGCCTCGGCTGACTCCTTTCACCGACGTGCTGGCCACGGCATCTATACCCGGAGTCACTTTAAAGTAACCGCTCAGAAGGTTGAGGTCATGACCCGGAGAGTGTGTCCTAAGACCAAACGGGCGGTGACTTGTCCCCAGCACAGGAAGCGGTCAGGGCCAAGGAGTCTCGGGGAAGAGGGTGAACCCCATCAAAGACAATGGTGACGTGGGGCCACGTGCAGACGCGGCCAGTGTCCCTGGTCTGCAGCTAAGATGAAGGACAGAAAGCTGGGACTCCAGACGAAGCTGGTCGGGAGGAGGAACAGGAGCCCACGCGGGGTGTGTGTGTGTGTGTGTGTGTGTGTGTGTGTGTGTGTGTGTGAAAAGCACGGCCTCCACCCAAGGCACCCCGAATGCCAACCAGGGACACCATGAGGGGCCAGCAATATCGGGAGAGAGGTGAACAAACACAACTCACAAGATGACCAGGTGGCCAGGACCCATAGGCTGCAGGGGGCCAGTGCCCCTGGTTGCCCTTGTCCCCTCAGCCCCTAGCCGAGACCACCCAACGGTGGGGCCTGGGGTATCACATGGAGGGGAGAGGCCACCACTGAAAGGGAATTTAATGTGCTGCATAACTCTGGCTGCACGGGCCACTGGCCACAAGGCTCACGTGAGGGTGGGCCCAGGTGGTCCCAGCCCCCATCCTCACAGGGGGGAAAGGTCAGCCTTGGTCAGCATCGTGTCCAAGGGGATTTCCACATCTGCAGAAGACTCTGTGGGCCCAAGGCCACTTCCTCCAGGGCGAGGCGGGCAGCGGCCTCTTTCCTCCAGGCACTCGCCCTCCTGCCAGAGGCCCCAGGGCAGTCCAGGGCCTCCCAAGGACCAACAAGATGAGGCCTTTGTCTGGAGCCCAGAAACACAGGCTCGCAGGCCCCAGGGAGGCCCCAGCCCAGGATGGCATCAGGCTTCAACCCAGGCAGCAGGACAAGCCAGCAGGTCTTGGGGTCACAGTCACCGCTGCGAGAAACAGTCAAGTCAGTCCCCAACCCACCAGCACCCCAAGGACACTGAAAATAAACAGAAAATCCTGTGCCAGCCCCATCCTTGGAGATTTGCAAGGTACAGGGTGTTTGTGCACTGACTGCCAGGCCCAGCTCTCTAGTCTCCCCAAGTCTGGAAGCTAACAAAACCTGCTCCAAGCCACGAGAGCCCAGTCCCCTCACACGAGCTCCCCAATCATGGGACCCCGCTCCACAACACAGGTACCCTCCGACACTATTGCCACCACCATGGGAGCCCCCTCTAAACCATGGAAGGGCCCCCCTCTCATCATGGGAGCCCACCTCACACCACAGGAAATGAGCCCACGGGATCCCGCCCGCATCACAGGACCCCCATCCCCATAACAGGAGCTCTGTCCCCCATCACAAGACCCCCTTCCCCGGCACGGGACCCCCCCTTCCCCAAGGACAGGCAAGCGAGCTCTCATGCATAGCGCCCCTTGTGGCAGGCACGCACGCTGCACCTGAGTCACCTGTCTGTGGCCCCCAGAGGCCCATCAGCGGCTGGAGGCTGCCTCTCCCCACAAGCCCCTCTCAGCCTCCTTAGTGATCCCCACCCTGGGCCGCAAAGGCTCTGCCCGCTCTCTTGCCCCTCAGGGTCAGCCACCATACCCCGCAGGGACGCTCCAGGGAGGACAGTGTTTCCTGCCCACTGGTCAGCACTATGAGCTGGCGAAGCAACCCCGTGGTCCTGATCTGCTGGGCACGGTGCAGCCCCAGCATGCTAAGACCCCCAGTTCCCACAAACCCAGGACATGTGGTCGCCCCAGAACTGGACCCTGTGCACAAGTGCCTCACACGTGCTTGAGTTACAGCACGCAGCCAGGCGGTGAGACCTGGGCCTCATCATGACCTGCGGGGCCTCAGTTTCCCCCACGGGGGCCTGGCTGGCCCAGCACAGGGGCTTGAAGGTCCCCATGTGCTGGCCCTCCACTAGGCCGTGGAGCCGACTGGCAGCACTCCTGGTTCTCAGTCCCGGGCTGACCACCAGGCACCCCCTGCAGCTTGGGGCTGTGGCCGACACCGTGATGCTGACGGAGACAGCCAGTCCTGGGAGGTCCCCACATCCTGCCTGGTGCCACAGCCCGGGGACCCCCCGTGCTGCATATTCCCCAGCTCTGTGCACGTCCACCCTGGACACACACGTCCTACCTGAGCCTGTGAAGGGGGCGCCAACCAGGGGGGCGGGCCGGCCCTTCCCATTGGCCACGGGCAGCGGGAACATCTGTGGAGAGAGAGAGACAGTGAGCGTGGCGGGCAGACACCCCTCTGTCCAGCAGTCTTGGCACCTGCGGGGACACAGCTCTGCCCAGGTTCAGCACCTCCAGTCTCATCGCAGACCCCAGAGCTGGGGTAGGGAGAATCTAGAAACAGGGGCCCCTGGTCTCTGTTGATGGGAAAACCTGCCCCAGCACTGAGGTGAGCAGTCACCCCCACCCCAGCTCACGCTCAAACCAAGGCAAGTGCTTCCTCCCTCCCATCCGCTGTCACCGGCTGCTCCCCAGGCCACAGCCACCCCGCCACCCCCAAGGCAACCCCACCAGTCACACCGGGGCTCAGAGTTGCTATTCCCCAGCTTTGGAGCCCGGCGGAGGTCTTCCTGCTAGACCACCCCAGGCAGGACGTCCTGCTGCCACCCGCTCAGTGACTCTGCACACAGACTTCCGGGGCCGAGAGTCACAACCCAGGACTCCTGGGCCTAAGGTAAGAGTTCTACCAGAGAGCTGCTGCTGTCCCTCACAGGCCACCCCGGGGTCTGGGACGAGACACCGCAAGACCGTGAGGCCCAGAGTCCCGCCCACTGGGGCAGAGAAAGCCAGTGTCCGTGCCCCGCCATGCTGTCCTCACTGTCCCGTCCTCAACACCTTGTTCTAACAGGATGCACCCCACAGCCCGAGTGCAGGAGGGAGTGTGTGACGCGGCGACCACCCTCAGGACACTGGGCTTTCCTTCAACAATCGAGTCCCACGCGGTAAATGGCCAGTAAATCCTGCTGGAGCCTGGGCCTAACGCTCCTTTTAATGCCAGCAGGGGGTCCTGGTGTGATCTCACTCCGTGAGCCACGACACCCCACACTGACCAGGACCAGAGGACCCACAGCGGGGTGCTGAGCTGGGTCAGGCCTGCAGCGCAGGGGAGGGTGCGGGGTCTGCGGAGGGAGCTGTCCCAGCACCGCCCCACTTCACCCTGCCCACAGTGCCGACTGACTCCCCTATACCCACCCCACTCACACCACCTCATCCCTGCCCACAGTGCCCAGACTCCCCCATATCCACCCCACCCGCCCTGCCTCACCCCTGCCCACAACGCCCCCCATTGGTTCCCCCACACCCACTCCACCCACCCTGCCTCACCCCTGCCTACAGTGCCCCCACTGACTCCCCCACCTCACCCCTGCCCACAGTGCCCCCACTGGCTCCCCCACACCCACTACACTAAGTCCCTGAAGATTAAACAGCTTAGCAGCCTTAAGCGGAAAACCCAACAGCAACAAACCCTTTGCCATAGAATAAATAAACCAGGGCGGCCCTGCCCCAGGGGCTGGATTTAAAGGTCCCCCCAGGCCGCAGTACTGTTGGGGACCTGCCAGCTACCCTCAAACCTACCCCAAGTCTCCATCCTGGGGCCCAATGTCCCACTCACACGTCACAGGGGAGACTGAGGCCTTGTCCCAGCCGGCCTTAGAAATGAGGGGGGCTCACCGGAGGCTCAGGCTGGGCTGGGTCCACACAGCTGGGAAGACACTGCTCAGAGCTGGCCAGCCCCATCCCTCCGCCCCCGCCCTCTCACCAGGTAAACAGAGACCTGACCTAGGAGAGGGTGACCTGATGAAGGAACAAAGGGAAGGAATGGACTCTGGGGGCCCTTGGGGTCAGGAGCCTGGCCTGGAGGGGCCGTGGCAGTTAAGTACGGGCCTCTACTGCCCCGGAGACTAAGCTGACGTGGCACCTGCCACAAAAGCACCAGGCTGTGTCCCGAGGGCACCAGCTCGCTGACTAGCCTGCCCCGCCCCCACAGCCTCAGTGTTCCCAGCTGTGAAGTGGGCTCAGGGCTATGTGGTGTGTTGTGAAACCTAGACACCTGGGCTGTCCTGGAGTGGCAGGGACTTCTGACCACGGGCATACTCGGGACACTGGTGGTCACAGACTGAGATGCCAAGGTCAGAGCCCGCCCTCCCCAGAACCTGTCATTAGGGAAGCCAGTCCCTTGGGCCTGGGATGAGGATAACTGGGCAGGATCAGGTCAGTGGTGGGCCCAGAGGGTGCACCTCCGCTCTGGCTCAGGCCTCGCCTCTGCTCACGTAGCTGAGAGCCAGGGGCATCACTGACCACCCTTTTCTAAGCTTCCATCTTTAATAGGAGGCGATTGGTGGGTTCAACCCACTGCCATGTGTGCTGGCTGGTGAGCGTTTAACCACCGTGCCACCTCAGTCTGTCCAGTGCTCGGATGGGGACCACCCCCGCAGCCTGTGTCCAGTGCTCGGATAGGGGATCACCTCAGCCTGTCCAGTGCTCGGATAGGGGATCACCTCAGCCTGTCCAGTGCTCGGATGGGGGAACCACCCCCTCTGGCCGGAGCCTGGAAGACCCTCTCCTGCTCCAGGTTCTCCGTGTGTAAGACAGGTCGCTGGAGCCAGGCTGACGCAGGGGAGTCATGCGGACTCTACTCTGGACGCAGAGGCCAACCCCACAGGGATGAACCTGTCCCCCCGCCCGTCTGTTCCAGGCCAGCAGCCCGTGACCTGTCGTTGTAACAAAACAACTTCACCGCACCCCAGCTCACTCAGCTGGAGCCAAAAATAAGACAGGGCTTAAAAATACCAGTGTGGCCCTTCCGGCATCGTAGCCTCAAGGCTGCTTTTCCTGGGGGCTGGAGCAGGAGACTGGGGTCACTGGGCCTCAGGGACTGTTATTTCTCAGGGTCCCGGGCCTTGACAGCATGGGGAAGGGGCCCATTCAGACTGAAAGTACCCCCCTTGATGTTGAGAGACCACAGTGCCCAGGGTGGGTGAGGTGGGACAGAAGTCAAGAATCGGCTGACACACGGCAGTGCGGGGACACTGATTAGCCCAGGCCCACTGCACAGATGGGCAAACCGCGGCCGCCGAGCCGCCCATGCCAGGGAGCCCTGGGCACTGGGCCTGCTCCCCTGCACAGCCCCTGCCAGGCCCCCTGGGAGCACGTCACGCTCCAACAATGACGACGGCAGTTGTAACTGTGGTCACACGGAGCTCCCGGAGCCTCCTCCCTGCTGTGTACCCCCCTTGCCTGTCCTCCGCCGTGACACCCCCTTTAACTGGGAATCACACAGCTGACCCTCCAGAGTGGCACAGGGCGGACTGCCCATCTTCCCCCAAAGAGCTGCTGGTGGGTTCACACCTCCAGAGTGCAGCCTTTTGGGGAGCAACAGGGCTCCCCACGGACTACGCCCCAAAGCATGTCACTACAAGCTGGGAGACCCCTGCTTTCCGACTGTGCCTCCTGTGGACAGGACAAGCCAATCCCCCTGCAGCCTAGGGGGCTGGGGCTCTGACCACACCCACTTGACAGGCAAGGTCAAGCGAGGTGTCCTCAGAGATGCGCACTGCAGCTCCAGTCTGCTGCCCACAGAGGCCCTGAGCAAGCCTGCCGTCTGGGCCTCAGCATTCCCGTCTGTAAAAGGGGCGGGCGAGACCCATCTTGTGTCCCAGCACACACATCCCTGCCGTCGATTCTGCACGCATCTCCGTGGGACACCAAGGTGTCCCGGTGTCCCTCTAGCCTCAGCTTGGGACCCTCACACCTCAGGGAGCTGGAAGGTCAACTGCTGGGCGCAGGACTCCCTGCGCAAGACCTGGGCTGTGTGGGTCCACGGTGCCCCTTACCATGCTGAAGTCCAGGAGGTCACTGAGCTCCTTGTCTGTACCCACCGGAGCCATCCTCGGTGGCTGGTTCATTCTCCAACAGCAGGCACCTGGAGTCTACAGGGAGCCCTGGGCAGGTGGGACGAACAGACACGGAGGTGAGGGGGTCAGCAGAAGGGCTGGCAAGCGGGGTTAGAACAAGAGTCCCAGGGAGCTGCCCTGGGGGGGGTCCCCCTCCCTAAACCAAGACGTTGTGGGGCCAAGCAGAGGGGGCAGGGCGGAGTCTGACCTGCGAGGAGCAGCAGTTTGAACATAAACTCCCTCAACTCTCTGAGCTCACCAGAGTATTGTGCTGCAGATTTTACACCAGGGGCACGAGCAGGAGTGTCCCCCAGGCCCGAGCCGGACCCTCTCCAGCAGCCTCCGTTTCCAGCCACCCCTTGCCCCCCTCCCCCAGAGTACGGGGCGGGGCGCCCCAAGGCCCCGCCCCGCGAAATTTTGGGGGGCCCCCCAGCAGCTGTCACAGCACGAGTGAGGCCCGGTCACCACCAAACCCAAAGGGGAAAATGCCCTCAAACAGGAGGCGAAACCCCCTCCTCAATGCACGATTTAATAGGAGCGCCCCTGGAGGATTTAAAGGGGACACCCCACCCCCACTCCTCCCCAAAAACCTGAACTCAGAAAAGAGAAAAACCAACTCGAGGTTTTAAAGCACGCGGGAATTGTTTTTAAACAACTTTGAAGATACCCTTGTCTCCAGCCTTCGGGAAGGGGGTGTCCCAGGGACAGGCTCCCAACCCCCCAGGGGCCCCTCTCTAGAGCGGGGCTCGGAGGGAGCCACCTGCCGACCCCTCCCAGCCAGGGGCGCGGGGAGCCTCCGCCCGCAGGACGGCGAAGCCCTCGGGCTCCAGTTTCCACTCGAGGGTTCCCCAGGTGGGGCGGGGGCGGCCGAGGACAAACCCCGGCGTGGGTGGGGGGATTCTGAGATCTGGGGAGACCCAGCTTCGGGGCGACCGAAAAGCCCCCTCTTTGTTTGCCAACTAGGACGGCACCCCTAACCCGCTCCTCCCAAGTTCTGTTTCGACTGTGTGAAACTGACTTTTTGGAGTCCGAAACCGCACTTTTTTTGGGGGGGGAGTAACGGAAACCTATTTTCAAAAGGGAGCCGACAAACTTGTCGGGGGAGTGGAGACGAGCTTCCCGAGGGGCGCCCGAGGGCTTCTGGGGCGTCGGGAGCACTTTGCAGGACTTGAAACGGACTTGGGAGGTGCTGGAGACCGGCCCGGGGCTCTTGAAACCGACTTTGCGCGCAGGAGGGGCCGCAGGCGTCCCCGCCGGGGGGAGGGGCGCGAGCAGGCCCGGGAGCACCCCGCCCCCCGCAGCCGGTGCAGCCCGGGGCC